TCATCACCAGAAGTAACTTGGCTTGGGATCTCCTAATTTTTTATTTAATTTTTTAATTTTTGTTTATGTGTTCTATTTTTACTTGTATTTTTATTCGCTGTAATATCATTTTAGGGTTTTTTGCTTAATATAATTGTTATTTTCAGTATTTTTTTTTATTTTTCTGTTTATTGGTTCATTCAGGGATTACGGATCATTTTATATAATATTAGACAATGAAAGTCAGAAGTGAATAAATTCATCATGAAACATTGTCAATCACCTTCAAACGACCCTATTACTATTGCAATGTTCTGTCGCCAAAAAAATATTGATATTTCTTTTTTTTATTGCTTATTAGTTGGGAAACATAAAAAATTCTTCGTAGATGAACAATTTACTTTTTTACCAACGTTTCGGAGTTTATCAAATCTATCATCAGGGATCTATAATTGAATAATTTCATAAGGAAACAGTATACGTGCCAATACATATTGCAAATTATTAAAGTTTCAACTAATCTCATATTTTGTGATAAAGAAACCAAACTGGTAGACTTACCAAATATTAGTTCATCCATGTTAAAAAAAACCTTGGAAAGATAGGTACGAAAACATACGAGAAAATAAGGAGTAACTACATGAAACTCATACAAAAATGAATACGCGTATTCTTTCATATAAACACGAAAAAAAAATTCTTTTGGAGCAAATACTTTTATATGAACACTGAATTATACACTTTTCTCTATTCAGTTTGTATTACAAACATTCGTTGTAGAATGAAATCAGATATCATTCACAGGATTGCTACACAATATAGTATATGAAAGGAGAAAAATTCCACTTACACATTATAGAAAAAAAAGCACTCAATTCAACCATGAGTTCAATCTACTCATGTCACCGATGACAGTAGGTGATGACATTCATTTAGTTATTTGATTAAATCTCAGCCATAGGAGAAGGCTTTTCCTTACAGTGTATGTGCCTGAAAGTTCCTCCTTTGCATGATCTACAGATAAGTTGATGATTTCCGATAATTGAAAATCGAATTCCTTCAGAGTATCATTCCTCGAACTAGGCTAAAGCAGACAACAAACGACAGGTTTGTCATGGCCCCATGGGCCTGTGAACGAGGTAACCAACCGTATATCCAAAATTTGCTCGAGCTCGAAACCGGTCTGCAAGTGTATTCCAATAATTGCAAATCTTTGGCGGCAGTTGTATCGCCAATAGCATATGCAGGAATAACTTCAGTAAAGAATCCTGTACTGACACCGGTCGAATATAATCCAACGCCCTACGTGGTATTAGCCAGGGAAGTAGTTGTTTTATGATAGGTGTCAGTCCATTAACCTAACTCATTCCATAGATAGCTGTGATAATCTCACATAAACTCAACTTCAAGGGCATCGAAAGCAAATTCCTATTTGGAAGCAATTGCCACGATATATTGTAGGATGTTTTGCATAGGTAACTTATGTGTTTATTGAATCTAACTGCAAACCCAAATACACAAACTGAATAGAATCGTTATTAATATGAATCATTCGTGGTTGGTTCCAAAAAGCACCACTTTGAATTTTGTTGAATTGAGTTTCAAGTTGTGAGCACTTTAAATAATTAACATGATTTTCAAGAACAGAGTGACATCGATTGAATTTGATACCCTACAATATAATCACAGTACTAACAGAAAAACAAAAATGATATAAATTTAAATAATTGGACTTCAATTGATAAATTTGATGGAACGAATCAGTCCTTATTCTTCATTAGATGCTTTGTTTCATGATGCGCAATTCAAAATTGCGTATCTTGTTAACGGCAAATGCTTTCCATTTGCACAAAATAATATTTGACCGAACGACCCTATTACTGAATTTCATTAGTTCGAACTTTCGTTGTCTACTATTATATGAAATGTCTTGAAATCCCTGAAAGTACCAATAAAAAAAATTAAAAAAAAAGAATAGCTGAAAATAACAAT